AAGTTCAGCAAAACTGCCTAAAAAATTGTATTGCATTTCTGCTGCAGTCTTAGGTTGAGAACTCCCAAATTCTTCTTTTCAACTAGCCTTTTAACTAATATTTTTTTATATTGAATTCTTTGTGGGAGAGTATGCACTACTTTCTGTGAATGTTTCATAAATGTGTTTTTGCTTATATGGAGGCATTTTGAGTTTTCATTTGTGTTAGGTAAACCAAAAATAAGGTAATACATAATGAGGGGCCTTTGTTCCTCCCCAACCCGAGAGGATTGGGAAGAAACTTTTTTTTTCCAGTGTAGTTCACTTGTACTTTTGACTCATCTGTTGCATTCCGTTTTATTGCAGCTTCATGTTCTAATAAAATCTCTTTGGTTTTAGTTGATTCTTTATTTCATGCTGTCTCTTGGATGGTATTTATTCTAGCACAGGCTAGTTTCACTTGATATTCTAAAATGTGCTCGTATTGGTGGTCTCAAAGGAAGAATGCTCCTGAAACTGAGCCAAGGATACTTCAAACTGGGCACTCAAAACCATTTGCTGTTGGAGAACACTTTCAAAACATTCATCTGCACTTCGGTTGGTTAAAGGGGAAGGGATTTCTGAAATGCTGGGTACTTAAAAACTGGGAACCTAATGTTCTTTTCCATAATACAGGCAATTAAAAGAAGTGTGGAGAAGAACAATTATATCTATTGCAAAATATTCTTGACAGGGCCTAATTTCTTCTAAATGCTTGATTGCCAGCTCTAGTAAGTGCTAATGTGTGCATTGATCATTCAAGAAAAGTGCTTGTACAAATCTGAGGTTAAAATTGCATTAGAATTTCAAGCTGTAAATTCAGCTGATAAAGCTCTTTGAAATACAGCGCAAATAATAATGTGTATTAGTTATAAGTTTTGAAGACTTCAAGTTGTGTTTCTCAGCATCCCCCTACTTCAATTATTTAAACCTTGATACTCTGATTTTTCAAAATTTCCACTGTAGATGCGAAGAGATTGCTTTTTGTTTGTTTTAGTGTGTGCCTCTCTGTTAGAAAAGCTTTGGTTTCAGGGTGTAGTACCTGCGATGCATTTTAACTTCTTTGCAGTGATGCCAAACATTTTGATACTGTCTTTCATACAGTCTAAAGTAGTAAAATTGAAATAATAACCAAAAAAATGTTGTGCCAGCTTTGCATATTATTTAGAAGGATGAATCTTAATATTAGAAGTTTTCTTGTCTAGCACTGCTTTTAATAAATGTTCTTATGTGTAGACATTGTTGTATGATTCCAGAATGGCTCTTAAATATTTGGCAAATAAGGTGATGTTGAACAAACTGCATTTGAGCAGTGTTTAAAAATAAAACAAAACCCATACAGGCTTGCATCAGATTGTGAAAGAAAAGCTGAATTATACTTAAAAATAGGATGGCTGATGCAAGAGTCAGGTTAATGTTGAAGCCTAAGTGTTATACCCATAACACTGGCTCCAGTCCTGCCAGTAGCTTCATATATGAAGAAAGTCAGTGGAGTTCACTCCAGTCAGTGGCCCTGCTACAGGGGGAGTGTAGGATGTAGGAACCAACTGTAAAAGATTTGACTTTCAACTCTCTATGTTCCTGTTCCACCCACCTGGGTATTTTTGTTTATTATTTGAGGAACAAAAGGCTTTGAGTATTGGAGTGATTATTATTTTTTTTTTTTTAATGTATGTGGGGGGGGTTGTGTGTAGAGCTCCTAGGCATTTCTGTCAGAAGTCTCCTTGACTGTGGCATTGCAGTTATCTGCTTCCTATTGCCATGCTGCTTTTTCCTTTCCACCCAATAATTTAAGTTCTTTTATTTCCTTGGCCTTCCCCACTGTAGTTTCCCTTTTGCTTTGTGTCGTTTGGCTTGCTGACTGCTTGGGCTGCTGCCCTCAGCTTGGGTTGTGCTACCTGGATAGCTGGTCATTGTCCCTCCCAATGAGTGATGTTGGGGGTCCCTCTTGCCAGCCCTTGCCTGGGGCTTGTGGATGCAGAAATAGGTCTGTGCTCATCTACTCCACTGCTTTCACGAGACTCTCCTATTCTTTGAGGGGTCAAACTGGATTTCAATTGAACAGCGGCTTCAAAAATTGTTTTGTAGGGAACACGTAGCAGAAGGACTTGGTTTGTCATGTTGTTCTGGTTTTTGGTGTGGGTTTTCTTTTTTGAAGACCCAATCAAAATTGAGATAGAACTATGTGTAGTCAGCTGTAATCTTGTGGAGTCCAAGTGATTTATCATTGCAAGCCATTTAAGTGTAATAACTAGAAATTTGCAACTTTATGAAGTTTTAAACTGTGTAGTATGTAAACTACATAAATTTCTAGTAACTTTCAGTCATTTACTGAATGAAATAATTCTAATAAAAGATAAAGATGAGTTTATTGTTCGGAGAGCTATGAGTCCTCTTTTCCTCTAACTTGCAGGTTTTTGTGTTTAATGTTAGCTGTGATTCTGAAATGGATTGTGAAGCTTGTGTGATTTTGGCTTCCTCATAGTAACTCTGATTCCTTCTACTGAATTACGTATTTTATGACTAGACCATGTGGAAATGGATTACTGAAGTCTTTGTCCATAGTGTCATGTTTTTACCTCAGATTAACTTTGCTTATACTATATGTTCATGCTCCAAATTAATGCATAGTAGTAGTTTAAATTTGCCTTATGATAGATGAAGAACAGGGTAGTCATATGATACTTCTCGCTTGCTAGCTGCTAAATAGACCTAGTTCTTTTACATTAATATTTAGGACACTCAGCAGAATAGCCATTTGCTCTGAAGTGATAACGAAGAGAGGGAAGGAATATGTATTGTGTTAATCCATGCTGGGGAATGGGTGGAGAAAGAAGACATGAAGTGGTTGTCTATAGTGAGAAGAATGTTAAGATTTACATTTTGTCTCTTCGCTTTCCTTTTAAAATACTTACACTTTCTCAATAGTGTATTTTACCACTGTTCATTAAGCTGCAGTTAAGACTCGTCATATGTTTGCATACTTTTTTTAGTCTACCTTCAGTATTATTTTGCTGCAGTTAAAGAGCTCTAGATACTGTTGAGCTCAAAAATCTGTACAGTCCAGTTAATGATACATTTCTTTAGAGATCACATTTGTGACAGTTAAATTATTGGCTCTTTGAGAATGGCGTGCCAATGTACGTGCTGCTAACAGGAGTTCAGGTGATTCCACTGGAGTTGTGGAGTATAGCCTTCCCCATGCCCTCTTCCCCCTGCAGTGTTCTCTGCCCCCACTTTCGAGGTGGGAGGGATCTTCCATCTCCATTTGTTAAATGCAGAATATATGCTTCATTACACATTCTTGTAATGAACTGCAGGAGGTATAAAAACGAATTATTACTTGATTGCGTTAATGACAGGCTACTGATATTTTGTTAATGCTTTTGTTTTTTCTATTGCATCCCTTTTTTTCTGTCTATGTATTTTAAATGTACAAGAGAAGAAAGAATCTAATTAATGGATGAAAATATTAAATCATGATATCAAGATACATTGCTGGAAAGGCAATCTTTGATTAGAATAGGCTTGAATGTGTCATGTTTCTGAAACCTGCATTCAATTAATGTGAGAAAAAAAAGTTTTAATGCTGTATTGCAGTGTGCCATTTAGTGCTCGCCCAAATGCTTCCTATAGCTTCTCCAACAAAGTTGTTCAGTTACCTATACAGGTACTATTAGCATTTTATTGGGTACCATATATGATTCTTATGTCATTCAGGCTGCTTAAATATATATGTATGTTTTATAAAATAAAACAGAATGCAAGAACTTGACTGGTAAATGGCAGTTCCCTTATGACTTGAAAAAGGACATTAAAAGATTGCCTGGGCTAGGAATAGCAGACTTTTACATTAAGTTGCATCTTGAAGTATGAAGTTGGCAGTTCTGTTTGAAGAATTTTTCTTTTGGGCTCAAGTCTACAATAAAAATAGTTAAGATATAAAAGAATAGAAAATTACTTGATGTTCACTTGTAAAATTATATACATGAAGTAATATAATGCTTGTCCAGCAAAAAGAGGAGGAGGAAAAAAAAGCAGTTACGCAATATTAAACTTTGGTCTAGTTTGCAAAATGCTTATGGGGATTTCAGTTATGCAGATATTAAACTATGAATTAAGAATAATTTAAAACTTGGGGAAATAACTATCTGGAAGAGTAACTACATGTTAAAAATACAGACTCATTCTCAGCTGAATTCTATATAATGTAATGCTTAACTCTGCAGCCTGTAGAGAATGGATTTTGAGGACATGCCAAAAATGAAGGACTTTTAGGCATCTGCGTTGCAGTTTTCTTTACATTGGCTATGTCAAGCTCTGTTACATGCACTGTTCTTTCCTTTTTTGTACATTTTGATAAGTTAGAACATGAAGCTTGACTCAATTTAAGAGTGTAAGATAGTTTTCTAATACAGACTTTTTGCACGTAGAAGTAATGGCAGTGTGGAATACTTGTGAGATTTTTTTTTTTTTAACTTTTTTTTGGTAGCTAGAAAGCCATTAAATAGAAAATACAATAGTTTACATATAGTCAACAGCTAAAACCTGAGAACTTTAATGCAGATCTCTCTCAGTCCTGCTGCAAACTAATTTTAGAATCTTGCCTTAAAAAGAAAGTGTGGTGGAAGGAAAGGAGCCTTAATGGTCTTTTATAGGAGAGCTGATCTTTGGAACTCACAGGCAGAAGGATTTTATTAAATAGAACAACTGTTTTGAGGAAAGACTGGCCTTTACATTTTGGCACAGAAATCAGAGATCACGCAACTGATTTCATGCTAAAAGAGTGTCGTGGCAAAAATATCTCTGGTGTATGGTTTTATCAAACTTGCTTCAAAATAAACTATTCATGTTGTAGATATTAATCATATACAGAAGTGTTCAGTAATGATTCAAATGATGTTTTTTTTCAAGAGGGTTCATAGTGTCTTGACTGTTTGCCTGAGCGCGTGGGAAGCTCTATTTTATCTGCCCTGGATTGTGTTTATTTTTGTCAATGAAGTCCTGACTCAAATGAAGGAAAGAGGGTCCTGTGAGATTCAGTCTATGGTTAAGCACTCTCCAACCCAGATCAGTCAGTGGGGTAAGTTTCCTGTTTTGGTACGGATATTTGATGTCTGTCTCTTTCCCTCTTCTGAATAATTTTGTGAAAGCGGTACACCTAGGCTAGAAATCTTTGTGTGTGTTCCTGTTTTTTTATGTATGATTTGTTACTGTTTTTTTTTCTTCTTGCATACAACCTAAACCAAGTGCTAATATTTCAACAGATACAGAATGACAATCAAACACTGCACACTGGTATGCCTGTGAAGAGGCACTGCCAAAGTTAATTGTCTAGTGCAAAAGCTGGGAGTTCTGGCTGATCAAAGCAGGTAGGTGTGAAGGTGCTTGCATGGAGAGAAGATATAGGGACAACTCAATGTGAACAATTTCTTAAGCAGAGCCAAATTACACATTTCAAATGGCCTTTACCTCAGCTGACTTATGAACATTTTAATTATAAAACTTGTGGTGGTCTTATTCCAAGTTGTGTTTGAGGGAATGACACAATTTTGATACTAAAATACGGGTGAATTTGAGGCAGTGGGCCAATAAGGAAAGTTAAGTCAGCAAATCTTTAGAAAACATTTTATTGGCTAATTAAAGACAGCATATTTTGTGTGGTAGATAATCCAGAATGCATTTTTCATGTACTGTTAACACCTAGGTAAAAATAAAAAATATAGTTCTAGTCTAATATATAACTGCCTGCACATGAGACTTCTTAAACTTGAATCTTGAACCTAGGAGTCACTATGTTTCAGAGGTATCATAGTGCGCTTGCACATCATTTGCGAGTTATGGCTCTAAATTGGTTTGTCTCCACTGTCACCAGCTCGTGTTAGACAAAAATAAGCCTTAGTTACATCACACACTTGTTAGTGCTGGAGAACTAACAGAGTTTACAATAGCGTTTAACATCAGTTTGTATCTCAGCAGTAACAGTTACTAGAAAACTCAGTCCAGTTTTGGCTGTGGAGTTCTTATTGATTCTGAAAATGAGGAGAGGATGAAGTCTGCAGGACAGATTGCATGCCATAGTTGTAAACTCTAGAGTCAGGAAGCTTTTTTTTAACATAAAAGATGTAGAAATTAGTTTTTCATATGGAAAGTAAATGCTCAGTTCTGAAATGCATGTTTTGAGTACTTTCCAGAGTAGAACTTCTTAAAACTGGTGACTTCAGAAAAGCAACTTACATGTTCAGTTTTTATTTTCCGTGTTGCCCTTCACTAACATTTATTAAATATATATATGTATTTGAGTAAATATTGCACGGAAGGGTTATTTTTGCTGTATTTGAGTTTTCCAGAGATCCCAGACACCAGAGGAAAGTCAGGAAGGAGATGATCAGAGGTCAAAACCTACAGAGAAAAGACTTGAGCTATTCTCACCTGAAAATTCAGTTTGGACCTCATCCCCTCCCGCCCCCCCCAAAAAAACAGAATCACAGGCATCCAGTCCGGTGTAGCTGTTAAATGGTACTGGAATCACTCCTCTTAACATTGTTTGTGTAGTATTTCAGCTTCCAGGTTCTGCAGATAGACTGGCTGAAAGACCCTGTCCAGAAAGTGTAAGAATTATGTGAAGATTAAGAACTCAGTGAGAAATACGATGCTTTTTTAAAGGGAAAAAAAAAAAGTTTAAGAAATTTATGGAAACTAATTGCATGTAATTAGAATCAAATTAAATCAAGCAAGCCATGTATTAAGAGCTAAAAAGGAAAGTACAAAGACACTGTTAATATTAAGAAACTATGGGCTTTATGTAATTTCAAGTAAGTTCAAGGTATATATAATCACTGTAACTTCTATTGCTATATCTGCCTTTCTTAATGAGGAAAAAACCCAAACAACCTGGCATTGTATGATATCTTAAAAAGATTGATTTTTTTTTTGTTTGTTTGTTTTAATATCAGCTCATGCACTCTCCCCAGAAGCACAGAATTTCCCTAAGGCTGAATGAAGGTCTGTCTCTGTGACAAAAATGTATATTAGTGCCAGTAAAGTCTGTTAATCTGATTTGAAATGTGGTTTAATTAGGTCAAAAAAAAGGTTTGCTCTTAACTGTTCTTGGCGTACAAAGTTGACAAGTAACAAAAAGCATGCTAGTACAGACATTTTAAAATAAACAATTTTGAAAATGAAAAAATAATTATAAAATTCTTTAACAAATACTAATTAATTTTATTGATTTGATGCATCTATTAATTGGAATTATTTTTACAAGGTAGTATTTTCTATAATCAACAAATCATTCAATTTTATGCCCCTAGTGTTTTCCTGCTGTTATAAATGCTCCAAGAAGTGCTGGCTGTGTTTCTCAAATGTGTGTTGCTGTGACAGCTGTCTACAATTCTATAACTCTGTCATGCTGAGTTCAGAAAAGCCATAGCTTATTACCACTCCTAAACTGGCAATAAAAAAGGTCTTTCAGGGGTTGGTACCTATGCCAGGATTGAGTAGGTATTGTCTGATACCTTGTCTGATAATCTAGACGACACTGTGGCCCTCTCTGGTTTTTCGTAGGCCTTTAAAGAAGTTGAGCACAAAACATTTTTGGAGAGAGGCCAAATGCTTTAAAACCTATTCTGAAATTTGGAAAGTATATTCCTACCATTCTGTTCGTCTGCAAGTTTAGCACTTAATGATCACAGGATCATAGAATGGTTTGGGTTGGAAGGGACCTTAAAAATCATCTAGTTCCAACCCCCCTGCCCCGGGCAGGGGCACCTTCCACTAGAGCAGGTTGCTCCCAGCCCAGTCCAGCCTGGCCTTGAACCCTTCCAGGGAGGGGGCAGCCACAAGTTTTCTGGGCAACCTCTTCCAGTGTCTCACCACACCCACAGTAAAGAATTTCTTCCTTATATCTAATTTAAATCTACCCTCTTTCAGTTTAAAACCATTACCCCTTGTCCTATCACCCCACCCCCCTGATAAAGAGTCCCTCCCCATCTTTCCTGTAGGCCCCCTTTAAGTACTGGAAGGCTGCTAGAAGGTCTCCCTGGAGCCTTCTCCAGGCTGAACAATGCCAAGTCTCTCAGTTCATCTTCATAGGAGAGGTGCTCCCTGATCATCTTCGTGGCCCTCGGCTAGACTTGATAATATCATCTGATAACGTTATCTTGATAACGTATGATAACATAATGATGAGTTGCATGACACTTAATCTTTCCAACAATTTGACCAATGGTTTTGCTGCCTTTCTCCATCTTGAGACTTGATAATATTTGGTATAGCTGTTGTAATGCTCAGTGACTTCTTCCATTCTCTCCTGTCAAGTACCCTCCTTCCTTTCCCCCCAAAATAACCAAAACCAAGAAGTTTTGGGGAACTAGTATTGTTTTCATAGTGTTAGTAGCTTGGAATTTAAAGTCAGCCTTATATTACTCCTGTTGATGCTTTAATATGCATGTCATGTTGGTGCTAGTTTCCAGGAGAAAGATGCTTTACTAAAATTTGTTATTCTTGTAATGTTTGTTTTGAATAACAGTTCATCTGGATGCTGGTACATAGATCCTGCAGTGGGTTTGCAGCCTGCACATATTTCTAGAGGTATGACTAATGGCAGCAGGGCAGCAACTACTTAACATAGGACAAGTTTCATTTTAGGAACTGCAAATAATCCATATGGCTAGTTGAACTTTAAAATAATTGTGTGATGCATTAAAATTTCAGTTTGAGGGTTGAGGAATAGTTGATCTAACTGCAGGTAACTTGAATCAGGTGTGGCAGTTAGCGTTTTGTTTCCATGGATCCTGCAGTTGTTGGAGCAGAAGTACTAGAAATAAAAAAAAGTATTGCTGCTTATATTCTATACTACTTATCAAATACATAGATTTAGTTTTTTGCTTATTTTGCAGATGGTATTCTGTAGAACTTACAATTGTTTAAGCTTTTCTTACTGGCTACTGAGCTTCTCATCAACTGATGCAAAAAAAAAGGGGGATCACTCTTCACTGACTCTTGAATTAGTGAGTGGTAGTGAAACCTGCCATGTAGAGAAGGAAGGTGGAAGAAAGCACTAAAGGATTTTTCCTCCCTGAATATCTATCAACAGTTGGGTCACTATGGAAAGACATTTCAGAGATTCCTTTCTTTGCCCAAAGGAGACGAGAACATTGATTATAGGATTCCTTACTCTCTTCTGTACACTCACAAATGGACCTACCAGTGCCTTTCCTGACTTTATCTGTATCTGAAGATCATCAACACGTTGTTTTTATGTCATCATAGCCATGATTTCTTTCTGCTCCAACTAGAAGGATCCCATCAGAGCCTGCACTTGAGGTAAATCAGGAAACTCTATAGTACAGTGACTGAGAAGAGTTGTTTTATATTCAGCTCCTTAAATTGGTGTAACATCCCATCTTGGTAGTATGAATCACTTCTGATGATTGATGTGAGGCAACAAAAAAACCTCTCCCAGAATTCCCATAAGAGGGATTCAGGTACTTTGAATGGTCTGTTGTAGACTTCTTCCATTCTTTTAAATATTTAGAAGAGCAAAAGAGTAGCGGTTAGCATTTCTCATCTCAAAATGCAGAAACTGTAGTTATTTCAGCCTGAAATATATATCTGTATATAGGAATTAATCAGGCTAGTATTTTTTGATAGCAAGAACACAAAAATTACCAACCTCATTTATTCTTTAGAGTTCAAGATAATTCTGTTCAAGGGAAGAAAGATGTATGAAAGGATAAAAACTAGAAGTAAAGGGTTATTCCTTTCTTGGAAAAGGAGATGTACTATGACCTTGATGTAGGGAAAGGAATTTAAAAACAAGTTATTCCTAACAGCATGTTTTAGATTGATCTTCCAGAAACTGTTTTGTTGTTCACCTATTTCCATGAGGAAAACACCGATGGACAAAGTGCACATAAATGCCTTTTTTTTTTTTTTTTTCCCCTTAAATTTTACATTGGATCTTTGTCTCCTACTGAACTACTACATGAATAGAGTAAGACCAAGTAAGCCGTTCTTCTACACCCCCGGAACTTCAGTAGGTGATTTCATACTATGGAGTGTATTGAAGGTGATCTGGAGTCTTTTTTCCAGTGAATAGGATCTTTTCCTGGTGAAATAGGATTTCTCAAAGGCAGCTTTATCTTGGTATTATAAAGGCCCTAGGCAGATTCCTGTTTGAAAGGAACCTGTGATAAGCTGGATTTTGCTGCTTCATCTGGGTTGATTCGCTTTGATACCTTCTGTTGCTCTGAGCTGGGAAAGAATATTGACATCAGAAGTGTTAATAGTGTTTGTAGGCTTCAACACATCACCTGAGGTTAAGCTTATAATGCTGTATATGGCGTTGTAGTTATGAATTGTAAGTAACAAGTATTAGCAATGTGGGAAGTTCCTGAGATTCGAAGTATTGCAAGTTATCTGGTAAAAAAGGAACCTTCTTTTCACAAGGGAGTCTTAAGAAGAAATGTGCTTTTAAGTATACTGTCTTTTTGTAGTAGTTTTTTAGACAGCATGTACAGACCAGCAGCGATTTGCATTGAACATTTTCTCCTACATTTTCTCTTCTTTCATGTTTATCTTTTATCTTCTACCTTACTGGAAGAGGAGAGTATAAATGTCATCCTGGAGACATCTGTTGGCCAAGTACATTTGTGTGGTGGTCAGTTGTTCTTTCCAAACAGAAAGACCTTCTTTCACAAAAATGTGCCTGTGGGATGAAAAGACAACCTGACTCCCTAACTCTTGACATCTGATCTGAAATAATAAAAGAGGCAATCTTCTGTCAAATTGGAAGGTATAGGACCCCATATTGGTCTCATGTTGTTGAAAAGTCATGAAATTCCACTGAAAGACAATTAATCCTATTATTTCTGTGAAGTAGTCTTGCTATTTAGAGCAAAATGTGTTACCTTAGATTGAGATACCATCACATATTCGATGTCCTCAGAGGAACCAAGAAGCAGAGTGTCTTTCTGCATGCCCAAGCAGTTTCTCTGAAAGAACTTGCTGATTTTTCTGTTTTAATTACTATAGCATATCTGGTTCTGTCCTTGATGGCTTTATCTGTCACTTACTTAAAAAAAAAAAAAACCCAAAACAAAACAAAAAAAAAACTAAAAAGGACATTTTCCTGTCTACTACTCTAACTGCAGAAATTAAAGATGCCCTTTTAAAACTCTGTATTACTGCTGTGGTTTTAATGGTAAAACCTAGGGTTTTTTTCCCGACTTCTCCTTGTATTATTTGGAGCACAATGAAGGAAAGTTTCTTTGAGGATGGGAAAGCTTATAAGTGAAGGACACATGAGATACCTAACCATATAAAGCTATTTTGTTTAGGTGTGTGCTCTAAAGGAGAGGATGAAGAAATGCCACCAAAATTGCCCCTCAATGAATTAAGTGCAATTGCATCAAACATAACGAGTAGCCAACTTTCCTGGTTAACTATTGGATCATACTCTGCTTGGTGTCCTGAGAGCAATGAAGAGCACTGCAGGTAAAATGATGGTGCCTCACCTAAGGCACACAGTTCAATGGCTACCCTACATACAAATACCAGACACTGTTGCTGTTGTGTAAAAGGTATTGCAATGGATAATAACCAGTAAACGCATATGTGAGCGGCATGCGTATAGTTGTGTTTTAAGTCCAGTAACTTCTGGTTCTGTGTTGTTGCATGTTGGCTCCATGCTACTGATAAAACTTCACAGGAGTCTTATCAGCTTTCAGGAATTGTGAAGAAGAAAATTTCAACTCTCGTGCATTGTATTTTCGTTGTTTGAGTGATGACAATTAACTCCTAGGACATCTAGGTTTTCTGGGGAAAAAAAGAGGAATATTCTAGAAGTACAGAAACCTGATCCAGGAGCTTGGGTAGGTTCTAAACTTCCACAGCAACCATAATGTGCCAAGGTTGAATCAGAGGTGGTCACAAGAGCATTAAACTGCTACCAGTGTTTGATCAATCTGATTTTGTGAATAGAATAGAAGACTTGAGATTGGAGTAAGGCCTTTACAGAGAAGTTGGGGTGGGGTTAGGAAGTCATTTGCGAGGGAAGCATTCAGGTAAGTATGTTCGTTTCTTCTTAAAAGAGATTATGGGGAGACGTTCACTGCATTGCAATAGATGCCATTTTTATTTCACTTGAGAGAAAGTGAACAAAGAAGAGATTTGGATGGAAATTTTTCCAAGAAATGAGCGAGTTCCCCCCCCCTCCCCCCCATCTACTTGTAACAAACTGAGAGAACTTTCTGGACAAAGCATCTTATGATTGAGCTCGTCTATTGGTAGATGTCTTAAAAGTCTTGAAAGTTCACAGCTCAACACTTTGGTGTTTTGGTTTTTTTTTTTTTTTTTTGGCATCAGAGCATGAAAAAACTGCATGTCTAGTACTCATCTCTTGTCATCCTCCCCTATTGCAGTGACTATGTGTATGTCTCTGTGTGGCAGAAAATGAGGGAATGCAGATCATTATTCAAGAAGTTACCAACTAGCACTTTTCCTTCCCCTCCAGTCTTTCTGCCTCCCTATCCTGGAAGTATGGAGTCCCTGCCTCAGCCTACGGCTTCATTCTTTTTCCAGCTGCCCACAAAAGTAAAGAACCAGTGTGAGAGTTTGAAGAAAGAATCCGCTCAGAGGACTGAGTCTCAAGCAAAAGCTCCAGGTTGCAGACTCAGAAAGAAACTTCCTTTGGGGAAGGATCTGCTTCCAGGATTTGCTCGTCTCTTTTTCCTTGGGCAAACAAAGTTCTTGAAGCAAACAACAGGGTTGCAGGTAGGTAGGGCCCCTTTGAACTGCCATCCACTCAGCTGTGAAGGATGGACTTTATGCTGTTTCTCTATGCTTTTTTTTTGTTGATGTTGTCTTCCACTTCTCTAGGCTGAGAGAGAGAAAGAGTGTGCGCAGTTTAAAGAAAAAATGTGGGGGAGAGAGAGAGAGGAGAAAAAAATATCCTGGGCACTTGGAAAGAATGTTTTTTATGCCTCTGCATAAGCTTCCTGTCAGTGGGTCATATTTGTACTTCAGTTCTTTGAAGCACTGATGACATTCTTCGTCTGACCCTTTTCTAAACAGGAAACTAAGTCAAGAGCAGAAACTGGTGGCTAGGGCCAAGGTAAGGCCAGTGATTGTATATGGCCCGTAGCCACACCATTTGCATCTCCTCCCTGTCTCTTTGCACCAGTTGTAGGTTTGAATGTGCAGTAAGGTGGAGGCCACCAATCCGACTGGATTCCCAGCACTGATAAAGTTCCCCCTGTTCTAAACTTGTAAATACGTTCTTCCTTCAGAGGAGCCTGTGGCTGCTGGGTTTGTTAAGTCCCTTTTCTTTGTCCGTGTGAAGGAAATAGAGTGGAACAGCCTGATGAGGGGGATGTGCTGCTAACCCACATGATGGGCAATCCCTCAGGCCCAGAGAAGGGGAATCGGTAGAATCGGCTCAGGTAAATTCTGCCTTTCTCACTTCACACTGTGCAGAGCCACAGCCTCTTCCTCGCAAACATCGGTAGCCCACAGTCAGACCTTTCTTTCTCCAGCTATGTCATTGCTGGCACAGGAAGTTTATTCTAAATTTCCTTTTGATTTTTAGCAAAAGGAATCACTTGAAAACTGTCAATGAAATTCTAAGGAGATTTTACCAGTTCCTCTTTCGTGCTGAGTTGAAGTCATTTGGAACTATGTTACATGCATTATTACTTTGGTGCATCTTGTGACTCTTCTCTCCCTCTTCATTCCCTCCAAATTGCTTCAGGACACCTTCTAACCTTTATACTGCATCACAAGCCTTCAGCAGAAGATCTTGAGAGCCATTTATGTTGCTGGAAGATGACTGGGTTTGGATCTTGGCCTTCCTTAAGCAGGATCTTCTGACAAAAGTGGGATTGGGAAAGAAATGACTCCTTTTTCCATCACACAGAGCCACCCTAGAAATGGAGGCCTAGGCAGAACACTACTTCTAATGCATCATTCTTTAGGAAATTCGTTTGGCCTTCCACAGTCCTTTTGTTACTATGTCATAAAGATGTCTTTTATAAAACCTAAACCTGGCATCTTCCTATCTGAAGATCAAGTCAATAAATACAAGTTTAAGAATTTAAAGGTCTAATAATGTGATCGGATCTTGCTGTCCCCTTCATAGGAGATGCCATGTGAATCTGTGAAACAGGGTTCTGCTGTGGTTCAGACTGTTATTTTTGTAAAGCCTTTTCTACTTATAGTCCATTTAAATGATTAGAAATAATTTTAATAAAGGTTCTTGTGAAAATGGTATTTAATTAGGCTTCTACCTCTCCAAGTTTACTTAAAAAATAAATTTGAGTACCAAAAATGTCACAATGGCAATATGGGAAGTACTACATCTTTTGAGGTTTCCTGTGGTTTTGTGTCGTGAGAAGGTACGTTGGAAGTGTTGAGAGCTATGAAAGTGGAAAAGCTTAGATAATTTTTTTTTTTCTTTAAGAGTGAAAAGCTATTTGTTAGAAAACGGAAAGCTTTTAATTGTTTTCCCCCTAAGGGATTCTATAGTCAAACTTAATTAAATATCTTGTGAGATCTCAAATAAAAACCTTATGTTTGGCAGCAGCGAACAACACACACACATGCAAGTGTACTTTTGTTCTTTTCGCTATAGGAAATTAGTTTTGAAGAATAGGAATTACTTGTAATGTTCAGTTTAGGAAAGAGGAAAGCTTTATTCTGAAGCTGAGTGTGAGAAGGGGTGGCAGGAGCGTGAACCAGACCCTCTGGCAGTAGGTAAAGAGCACTTTTATTTTCCTGTTTTCTGCTTCTATCAGTTGGAGTAAACTAGTCAGATGCTTGTGCTTGAATCCAATTAATTTCTTAAATCAGTTACCACAAACATTGGTTTTTAACTAATGCCTAGATCTTTCATTAAATTTGCCAGCGTATTTAAATTGTTGAACAGTCTTAATGTAGCCCTGAGGCTACTGCTTCATGGCAGTTGTGACTTCTTACTATGCTGGAATGCATTTCAGTCTTAGTACATTCTAAAAATAATTGTTCAGATGGTGGTATTTAAGGACATACTTATGTAGTGAGCCATTTTCACTGGACTTTCTGAAATTTGGCATTCTGTTGGATGGCTTTTTAATACCCTTTTTTTTGCTGTGAATTTCAAACTTCTTTGTCTTGCTACTTCTGTGGTTATGGAGTAAAACGCTAAATTTATAACCAGGTATTTTTAGAAAACTGATAGTCAGATGTGTGTGTTAAACTATGCAACTACAGTAACACTTGTGAACTTTGAAGTTTAAAGATAAATCAGTTTAATGTATCAAATTCAATACTTTCTAATATGTGGAAATACATATGTGATGACCTTAAAATTGAGTAGCTGTTACAGGTATAGACATGAATTGTGTGCCAAACGGGAGTAATCTAGAAGTTATAAAATGAAGAGCTGTGAGTCTCAGAAATAAATACTAACATCAGTGGCTAGAGATTTGTGCCAGCAGTGCTTTTTGTTGAAAATACCTGTTTTTCTAACTTCTAGTCTGTGTAGGGTTTGATATCTTCTGTGGCTTCCTTAATAGGTGTACTTGTCTCAGCCACAGTTTTTGGTCATTTTGTTCTGTACTATAAGGTAAATTCAAGACCATCAAATACTTATGCACACTGAATACTTATAGTAGAATAACAGGGGCACTGAGAACTGTTTCTAATGTTATCATCTCAGTTGCTAAAATTGCTCCCTCCCATAGTTACAATTGGGGAAAAAACCCCAAAAAACCTGTGGTTGTTCTACAGTCAGTATTTTGATACTTTTGTCTCTCAGCATTGTGTTAGCCTACTACTATCATGCTCTGAGTTTTCCAGCTGAAATCCTGGGTTCTTTAGCGCAATAACTCCTGCCTTTGTGTTATTAAATAATAAAGATGTCTAAAACCATTTTCTTCTTGTTTATATTGTACTTAACATAATTGTATGAGTATCGAGTGACTCTCCTGACTGACTGCAGAATGCCAGGAAACATGGAAAAACACTGTACGCTTTCAGAGGTTTTTAATCCCCAGTACTAACAGAATTTCACAAAATAGACTCGTAGTATTCCTATTTTTCCTCTTTCTATTCCCTTTAAGATTCCTTGAGCTTTTGAGCTACCTAACTTCATGTAATCCTTTACATCTTCTTGACCAGATGCCAGCAGCTCCTAATTGTTTCATAGCCAGTCAATAAAATCCTGGCTGTTGACACATCCTTTTTTCCTGTCCCAGAAGAGCTATCTTGTTTAACCTGAAAGATTTGCTTTCTTCTTTTCACCTTCTATCCACCCTCCATGGCTTATGTTGCAACTCTTTCTCTGTTACGGGATGCTTTGAGAGTCAGGAAGTATTCTGTAAAGATCAGGAAATGTGGGGGAAGATCTTAATGCTGCTACTTCAGCCAGAGCTAAACCTGTGTGAGAGATGTTTTGTCAGTTTAGAGTAGTTCAAGGAATGGAGATTAATCAAAAAAATGTGTTCCTTCTGTAAACAAGAAAATGATGTTAATTCTATAAATAAGAAAATGAGAGTAAAGAGTATGGGTTCTGGGGTGTTTATATTCCCTTGTGTTATAGTGAGGGAGATGGGTAAGAAAGCACCAACAGTTTTTTTGTGAACTTCTGAAAGCTGAACTAGCTCCATCAGCAGTGGTGTGCTGTAAGTTGGATTTCATTTCTCCAGTCCTTTTTGCAGGGCACTGGGATTTGTGCAGGTAGCAGTGACAAAAAATCCTTTTCTCAGCTCTTCTTTGATTGAGGAAAGTAGGTTGGTATCTTGGTTTTCCAGACCTCTGTTACTGATCCCTGAAAGAATGTGATGTAGGGGGCTAGTTTAGAAAAGTGTTTTTAATTGAAAACTGGAAAAAGTCATTCTCTGAAAGCAATGGTAACAAACAGTTGAACCCTTCGTTTTTTCTTGCATGGACTTTATGAAGAACTGGCGGCTACACAGCTCCTAAGTCAGGTCTGTAAGTTGATCTCAGCAACATGAGGTGAGTTGGTGGGTTGTTTCAGGAATAACTGTTGGGTTTTGCTACTTAAGCTGGATTGCCAGATTGCATGGAAAGCATGATGAATTAACTATTTAAAATGGTTTGGAAGACCATATTGGGTTCATGTTTCTTTTACTGATGACAGTGACGCTTCCCTGATCACTTGCTAATTTTTTTGAAGAATATAAAGCTATTGTTCTAATAAACTGTCCTATATTGTTTCATTTCCTTGATCCACTCTCACATATGGGTGGCTTTCCTTTTTTTTATCTCCCTGGTAGAAATTGTTTCTTGCTTTTTCTATGTGCTGTTCAAGTCGGGGTCAGGAAAATGTCTGGGTTTCAGATTTCTTCACTTACTGTTCTGTAGCAGAAGTCTATCTTGCGCAAATGGGTATCACTTTTATGGGGGCAAAATTTTTTTCTGATGGATGGTTGTAAGAGATTGCACAGAGAGGCATATGGCTTGAGGTGGTTTTCTTCGTAGTAACTACTTCACTAATTTCAATCTTACTGGTATCTGACCCCCTCTTGCCAAATTCAGTTAAACATATCTGTAATTCTCAAGTAAATAGTATTTGAACAAATAATGGAGCTTTTATGATCATAAATGCATTTAATGTGAACGTAATTGTCTTTTGAAGGATGAAATGTGATTTAGATAGATTTTTGCAAAACTTAGCTTTGTGGTGACTTGAACTGAGGTTTATTCATCAGATGGAATTACCTCATTTAGAGTCCACATTAAAATTGAGGTAGTATTAGTTATCTCAGAGAAAGATTGCCACCAAATGTAAAGTGCTATTCAGGAAAGGCACTCTTTAGAAATTAAATCACTTTAAGTAATCTTTAGAATTACTGGCATGGCATATAGGGAAATTAACTGTTTCTCTCTTTGGCTTTAGCTACCTTGGTGAAAAATGAAAAGACTTGTCAGACAACACTATGGAGATGTTGTAGGTTAAATGGTCGATCAGTATATTTTCGTAGTTTTAATACTAGTAAAAATATGATGGAATTTTCTGCAGCTTATGCACTTCTTTCTATATGTTACCTTGATTAAAATTGATTTAACTGTCTAAGCAGCATGAGCTTGCAAACTATTTGCTTCTTGATGGTAGGAAACCTTTGTTAAAAACACAGGGTAAAATACACTGTTCTGTATCCTTGGCATCGGGTTACAGGAAGAACAGAAAGACAGTTTGGACATGTTATTTTGCTGAAATTACTGACAAATAGCAGATTTTTACCTATTTTTCCAAAGCTTGGTTCCCTATGGCTAGGGGAAGGCTTAAGGCATCTATCAGGAAATCTCAGCTCCTTAAGGTAGAAGTTTAATTCTGTTATCATTTGTTATATTGTCTCATAGTTGTATATCCTGGCATTTACCAGTAAGGGAAGATATTGTGGAAGACTAGGAAATACTGCCTAATATGGAGTGTAAGTGAAGTAGCATGTGAATATGAAACATGAAACTCTTAGAAATGATGGAAATTACCTTGAACACACGTAAGCTGTGATTTAGGAAAGCATCCTTATCCGTTCAGGCGTTTCAGGGGAATTTTCACACATCTGCTGCTGGCATGTGTTTAGAACTTTTCAGAGTAATAGAATTTGAAATTCTTTAAAAAAATGTCTTCCTGATCTGTGGTAGTACTTAGCATTAGATGAGAAAGCATGAAAAATTAATTTGCAAAATCTTTTGAGTATGTGATGGAGAGATGAAATCAGGCTGAAGCACATAGGAGTAAATGAAGAACAGCTGACTTCAGCACAGTTGCTGAGTACAGATGGGATGTTCCTGGTTGCCTTCAGGACTACAGAGAAATTGAGACAGATACTGGAATTGGAATAACAAGCAGCCAGCTAATGTAGAAACTCTCCCTTAGCAGGCGGTAGACTTGACAGAAAATCACTTGCAGCAGCTAAGCTTTTTTTCTCCCCTATAAGCAATGATACTAGTAAAGTCTGGACTCCTACAGATTTGTAGCTTGTGTGGTTAGATTCTCTTGTGTCTAATAAAGTGTAAGCACTGATTTGTAGCTATATTATGCTTTTGGCACTGCTTACATTTATCACCTCATGGTGTCTAAAACAAATGAGTTAATGCTGCAGCTTTTGTTAAGGGGAAAGTAGAGACAAGTTAGAAGGACTCCTGGACTTGTCCATTTATTTTTATGTAACTTTTTAAGAGCTTGTATATCTTTGGAAGCTGTAACCTTCTGTTGGATCTGGCTGATATGAGAAATAGCTTAAAAAACCTGGTAGGGACATGAGAATAGGGACATTCACAGGAAAAGCTTACATTAGTTCCTTTCCTAATAAATTAAGGGTAGTTGTAAAAATGAGAATGTGCTATAACAAACTTTTTAGCTTTTCATGTGTTAAATCTCTTCTGTTTTACTTCTGGTATGCTAGAACACAAGTAATAGTTTTCATACATAACTTAATTGATCTCCGAACTTTTTAGTACAGTATTTACAAAGCAACTGGTGAAATTATTTTCTTTGAGTATTTTAGGGAACAATATGCTTTCTTCTAATACGTATTGTGCTGAGGAGTATTCCAAGAAGTGGTTTCTGTATTGACATTTTTGTTCCCTTTATACTTGTATGGGTAATTATCTTTTAAGTATCCGTTCCTGTGAATTAATGCTAAATTTTATAGTTTTTTTTTTTTTTTTTTTTTAGTTATTCTTTCCTCTACTTGCATCCACTTTGGAGACTTTACCCATCTATCCCTGTTGAAAGAGTATACCAGTCAGGTTTCTGTAATACTTCTTTTGACTTGCTCAGAACTGTTTTTTTAATAAAGCAGTTTTGCAGATGAGAAAGATGAACAGTAATAATCTGTTTATTCAGAGAATGTTTAAGAAAAACCAAGGAAGGTTTTGTCCCTGTATCAGTCCTCACATTGTTATCCAAAAATACATATTACTTGGAAAACTCTAATCTATCTCCGTGGCTAGCAGTCAAACCAGTGCTCCCAGTATGGCAGTACTTAAGCTGCAGGGCATTTTTCTGGTCTCTCAAGGTAATCTTAACACCCAAATTTCTGCTTGTATTTCAATTTAAGCTATTTTTTTCAGATTAGTTCTCTGCCTCCTTCAAAGATTTTTAAATTGTAATCTTGATGGCAATATAATAGCGATACAAAGCGCTACGATCCTTGCCCATTCCGTACGACTTTGCAAGTTAAACCTTTTTCTAAAGGCTTTAACGCCATGTATGAATGAATGAGAAATCTAGGATCTTCACTTGCCTTTACACTTAAGCAGTGGATATTTTATAATTGTCCCATTTTGTCACCCTGAACTACCATCTGTTTTGTGGCCCTCTTGGAGTGCTTGCTGTTTCAAAATCCAGTTTGCTCTGTGATTCAGCGTACTTTATAAAGAAACTCTCTGCCTTTATGTAAATACTGAAGTATATGCAAGATGTTATAACTTGGCTAGCTGTTCATATTTGTTTCTTTGCACAGAATGCAGAATTATAGATTGGAGATATTTGAGAACCACCTTGTGTAAGGCCTTGGTTCAGTGAATAGTCTCACCAGTTTAATTGCCGTGCAATATTCAGTTATTCTCCGGACACTCCTTGGAACACTTATGATGTGGACTGCACTGGAGTAAATCACGTAGTGACTGGCTTTCTGCAAGGCAGATATTGTTGCCTGAAGGAACTTTTTTTCTACTCTAGCTAAGGGAAAATACAATATAACTGCCAGAGTCCTGTATTTCTTTTCTCCCCTCTTTGCGTCTGTGTTTCCTCTTTAATTTGTTGCAATGAAGAGATTTTATTTATTTAGCAAACTTCCACCACCCATTGGAGAATCCTTGCAGGTTAGATAAACCTAGAAGATTCATTGCTTTCAATATGACCCATAACCTGATTTATGAAATCTTGATACTTTGGG